AAGTGGGAGAACAGACCAAAAAGACTCAGGGATGCCCTAAAGAGATAATCTACCTCCTATGCCTTCAGCTGTCCTTTCTAAGGACGTTCTTAAATTACCTATGTAGGTTAGACCCAGGCAAGCTTAAAGGAGACAACTGGAGGAAGAGGTTATCAAGAGTTTAGAGAGTAGGAGACTCAGAAGGCTGAGACAGGAGGAGCACCTAAGCCCGGTGGGAGGAGACTACGGTGAGCCATGACCACACCACTGCACTCCAGCGTGGACTACAGAGTGAGACATTATCTCAAAAAAAAGTATTTGGGGGAGAAAAAAAGTATTTGGAGATTTTTTTAACCACACACTTTATTTGATGTCAACATCAAAGAAGGAATATTTAAAAAAGCAAATCCAAACCCTTAAGTTAGTAATATTTCCAACTGCATGAAAAATGTATTATTTTACATCTTGCCATTACTGCATATACAACTGTACATAAACTTCTGCATTTCAAAGCTCTTGTCATTTATAAAGTAAAAGCACTCAATGTGCTAAATACACATTTCCTGATTATTATTTTTAAAAGCAATGCTCCTTTGGAAGTTATTTATTCTTTGTGCTTATAGTTGATCTGCAAACATTTCAAGTCAAAGTTTCTGGAAACTTCTTGAAAAAATCATAGTAGACAAGGACTAAGTGCAGACATAAGCAGCTCCATTTTATAAACAAAGTTTCGACCTTCCATTTTATTCCAATGAACTTCTTTGAATGGCCCACGAAGATGACTCCATTTGGTGTCTTGTAAAACATCACTTTTTGGAAGGTCTTTACACTGATTACGGGGAAACTGAACCATAATTTTGCTGCCACTTTCAGGTCCATTACGAACTGTGGAGAAAAACAAAAATAGCAGTACACTCTAGTTTACCAAACTTGAAATAACAAAGGTAAATCCCACAACTTCATTCTACTGTAAATACAAAAACTGTCTATCAACTTGAAACATTCTTGTTAAAAAGTGCTTTTCCAGTTTCAACATGCAAGAAAAAAAATTCTAACTTCTATATAAGAAGCCGATATAAATACTCATGAATTATTATTTGTACACAAAGATGAGTTTTGACCTAGGAATGTCAAATGTGCTATTTTCAGGAAATCATCTCTTTTGTTTCCACATGCAGCACTGAAAAACGTACAAAGCTTTTTTGGGGGTAGCGGTTAAAGACAAGGTCTCACTGGGTTGCCAAGGCTGGTCTCAAACTCCTGGGCTCACGCAATCCTTCCACCTTAGCCTCCCAAAGGGCTGGGCTTATAGGCATGAGCCACCACACCTGGCACTTCCACCTATTTTTTTCAGTACATTCATTTGATAATATAGGTCATTCAATGAATTGGTTAATACATGCCTAATATGTAAAGAAACCTCAACCACTTAAAATCAGGACTGAAAGAGATGAAGAAAAGATTATTCTGAATTAAGAACTTCAGGTTTTAATGAGGTTTTAACTATTACTTGGGAAAAGAAAAGGGTCTTTTGAAATTCCTTGCAATAAAGATACAGCAATGACCAAGCTTGCAGATTCACAAGCTGTGATCCTGTGGGGAAATATTTCTAACTACCCACTCTTTCAAATACAGTCATAAGCTTCATAACATTTCAGTCAATGACAGATGGCACATATAATGGTAGTCCCATAAGTTATATAATATTTTTACTGTATTTTCTTTTTCTCCCCCTCTTCCTCCCCCTCCCCTGCTTTTTCTCTCTCCCTCTCCCTCTCCCTCTCTCTCTCTCTTTCTTTCTTTTTCTTTCTTTCAGACAGAGTTTTGCTCTTGTTGCCCAGGTTAGAGTTCAATGGTGCTATCTAGGCTCACTATAACCTCCACCTCCTGAGTTCAAGCGATTCTCCTGCCTCAGCCTCCCAAGTAGCTGGGATTCCGGCATGGGCCACCATGCCTGGTTACTTTTGTATTTTTAGTAGAGATGAGGTTTCTCCATGTTGGTCAGGCTGGTCTCATTCTCCTGACCTTGGGATCCACCCACCTTAGCCTCCCAAAGTGCTGAGATTACAGGTGTGAGCCACTGTACCCAGCCTACTGTACTTTTTCTATGTTTAGATACACAAATACCATTGTGTTACAACTATCTATAGCACTCAGTACACCAACATGCTGTACAAGTTTGTAGCCTAAGAGCAACAGGCTATGCCATGTAGCCCAGATGTGTATGTAGTAGGCTGTACCATCTAGGGCTGTGTAAGTGCACTCTATTATCATGCGATGAAGTCCTCTAACACCACGTTTCTCAGAACCTGTCCCTGCCGTTATGCAACACATGATTGTATCTTTAAAATAGTCAGAACAGATATTAGAAATGAAGTTCATGCTAAAATCTAAGTGCTTCAAATATAAATTTAAGTTACGTAATAATACTCATGCAAGTGTCTATAAAGTGTCTACTCATAGTAGGTGCTTAATAAAATACTTCTCCTCAGCTGGGCGCACTGGCTCACACCTGTAATCCCAGCACTTTGGGAGGCCAAGGCAGGCAGATCACCTGAGGTTAGGAGTTCGAGGCCAACCTGGCCAACATGGCAAAACTCCATCTCTACGTAAAATACAAAAATTAGTCAGGTGTGATGGTGGGCGCCTCTAGTCCCAGCTACTCAGGTGGCTGAGGTGGGAGAACTGCTTAAACATGGGAGGCAGAGGTTGCGGTGAACAGAGATAACACCACTACACTCCAGCCTGAGCAACAGAGTGAGACTCCATAACAAAAACAAATAAGTTAATTAATTAAAATACTTCTCCTCTCTGCTCCAACTCTTTATTCTTTTTAGGATCAGATATTTTTCTTCCCGTGTTTGCAGCAGTACATTTTTTTAAAGTTTTTATCCATTAAGGTTTGGAACTGCAGAAGCAACAATGCTGATGACACTTTTCAGACTCTCTGAGGAAAATGAGATGCCAATTTAAACATTTTTTACAAATACTAGAAAGAGAAATAATAATCTCTTGCTCTGAATAATAGCTATTATCAAATAAATATTCAGTGTAAATACATTAACCAATTTATTACAGAGATAAATTACTCTCGCCTATATTTAATTATTAAATCTAAACGTTAAAGCCAAACTTCCAATGGTCCCTTCTCATTCAAAGCAGCAGAAAGTACCTGAAATGGCATAGTCACCATTCGGGGAGGCCACCGTGATGGCAGATGCATTGCCAATGCTCTCTATGGGCCCAAGTCCCACATGATTACTGAAGCTCAGTACCTGCCAGCCCATAACCTTGGCAAGCTGCTGAACTGCATGTACCTGGTGCTGTGACATCTGTGAACGAAAAAGGACACTTGACTGACAATCAGCAGAGATATATGCAGTGACTTTACATCATGACCATAAAGTAAACTTTTGTTGGGGTGCTCATTGACTAGTACAGCAACACTGCCTTAGGTCTGAGGAATCCTCCTGTGTATAACTTAGCGAGAGGGAATAGGAACCCACCTTCCACTGAAGTTGCCTGACACTTGCTTCTCCTGCCCACTGGCAACTTAAGCACAGACACATGACATAAATTTGGCCAATTGCAGACTCCTGTCTAGATCACCGAATATGGTGCAACATTTGCCCCTTCAAATCCACTGTCTACCTTATTTTCTGCCCTGAGAGGCTGACACACGTGGTTACCTTAATAGCTTCTTACGTCCTCTGGCTTAGGGCTGGATTCAGATAATGGGAGCCATCCAATGGGAGGCAGCAGGATGGCAAGGAAGAGTGAAGTCAACGTATTTATTCTCTTGGCACCCTCCCTGTGAGGTTGTCTAGGCTGGCTGTATCTCTTGACTGGCTGCTGGTCTTCTCAAGATGGATTGCTCTAACATGACTGTCCCCCTTACAGTTCCTGTAACCTTTCCTTCCTCTTAACTTTGGCCTAGGAATGGTGACCACTAAGCCCCTGGGGTCTGATTACCTGGTTACTACTACTGGCAGCAGGTTACCACACTATCCCTGTTGGCTCTCCTATACCTACCCCTTTGTAAATAGATCTTTAGTAACTAGGTCCTCCTAAAACTATCCTCCTGAGTGTGCCACCTATTTCTTGTTAAGACTCTGACTGATACAATCAGGGCAATTTAGAATGCATTCCATCACCCGTGCTGAAGGCAGTAGTGCTGGGACAGCCTTAGTGCCATTCCCCTGGCCATGATTCTCATATCTAGCCTTAATCCCTACCCATTTACAAGCCTTGTTCTCTAGACCTCCTACTGATTCTGGTACCTACTCAGTAGTGTTCTAATATATTTTTGTGTGTGTGCTTAAGGTGACCAAAGCCAATTTGGATGTAGTTAGCCAAGAGCTGCCATGCCTAACAAATGAATTTTATTTACTTGGCACCGAAGACACAAATCAGTATATAAGATGATTGCTTCTAGGGTGGAAAGTATCTTGCATTAGCATTTCAAAAACCTACGCTTTATCTCACAATTCAGTATTTCACTGGGTCATTTAAAAAATCCATGAAGAAATTAGGAAAAATGCTGTGAGATATAAAAAGAAAGGGCTAGAAATTTGTCTGATGTCACAAGCAAGTTTATGGTAGAGCTGGGACTAGAACCCATTACTTTTATTTTTTTTAAATGATATCTCGCTGTCACCCTGGGCTGAATATAGTGGGACCAATCATAGCTCACTGTAATCTAGAACACCAGGACTCGGGCAACTCTCCTGCCTCAGCCTCCCTAATAGCTATATCTATAGGTACATACCAACACACCCATTCAATTTTCTAGTTTTGTAGAGACAAGGGTGTTGCTATGTTGCCCATGCTGGTTTTGAACTGCCGACCTGAAGCAATCCTCTTGCTTCAGCCTCCCAAAGTGCTGGGATTATAGGCGCAAACCACCATACCCCGCCTTAAACCCATCACTTTCTATACTGTCCCTTGGACTTATTATTAAACCACTTCATTTATTAAGGATAATGGTCATTATAGGGTTTTTTTGTTTGTTTTGTTTCTTTTTAATATATAATTCAGTCTCCAAAAATTGCCAATGCCAACTACATTTCAAGTCGTCATGGTGGGGTATTGGGAAAAGTTTTTAATTAACAATAATCGCGCCTCAGATAAACCTCATTGGCTACGATGCTGCCACTGCGCAAAGCTGGTCATTATAGTTTTACATATGATCTCCCTTTCTCTAGTTTTCTTCAGGTTAATAATCCTCTACTCTGGAGATGTTGTAAACCCTACAGGTGTTGTAAATCTTCACAAATATGACATCAGGGAAAAAACTTGCTAGTCTCAGAACTGGTCCATCTTGACATGAAAACCTGTAACAGTTTATCAGCACTTTCAATTAACCAACAGGTTGTAAAATGTGCATTAGAAATTAAACAGAATTTAATTTCTACTGTAAAAACATTTTCTTCTTAATTTATTACATTTTAACTACTTCTTAACCAATTTGTGATTTAAGTAGCTATGAAACGAAGGAGGCTTAAGACACAATCTGCAACTGTACCTGAGACAGGAGGAAATCCTGTAGCTCCTGCTCTTGATAAGACAGTGTAATTACTCTTCCATCTCTGTGTACAACTCGAATCTGCTCAACTCCAATATTCAATTGCAGCTGGATGGACCTTTATAGACACATAGACTAAAATTCAGAGATGTTCAAAATTATACAGTATTATAAACAATAAGCCTCAACATCAAATTAAAAAGTATTTCTTTGTTTGTTTTGAGACAGAGTCTCAGGCTGCTGCCCAGGCTGGAATGCAGTGGGGTATGATCGCAGCTCACTGAAACCTCCGCCTCCTGGGTTCAAGGGATTCTCCTGCTTCAGCCTCCCAAGTAGCTGGGATTACAGGCGCCCTCCAACATGCCCGGCTAATTTTTGTATTTTTAGTAAAGATGTGGTTTCCCTATGTTGGCCAGGCTGGTCTCAAACTCCTGATCTCAAGTGATCTACCTGCCTCGGCCTCCCAAAGTGCTGAGATTACAGGTGTGAGCCGCTGCACCCGGCCAAAAAAAAAAAAAAAATCTTTTAATAACCCACATAAACATCCATGAAGGAGATGCAGGAGTCTTCTTTGGTTCAACTAAGCAGACTTACTCCAGAATACAATAGACCACACTAAGTACCAGTCTACCCAGAGGATTTGGAGAGACCACAGCTTGCCAGCAGGCCATGCAGCTGTCTATATAGCAGCAAAATACCTTTGTTGCAAGATGAGATCCACATTGGGTATACATGGGACCTGTCCTAACAGGAGCCATAAGGTCTTGTAACAACTCCATAGGCATGGTTTCCACAAGCCAAGATCAGCTTTAAAAGTCACCACCAGCCAGGGAAGTCCAAAAGCATTCCCATCAGTTATTTAAAATTTCTCCCAGTTCAGACGCATTTTACCAATTTGAAATCATTTTTACTATTAATACAGATGACATCTTTCCTTATCAGGTTTCCAAGGGATTAGAGCCAGTGTTAACCAAAGAGCAAATTATCATACAGAAACAGAAATTGTTAATTCTTTACCTTCTCCTACTGAAATAATCAGCAAACAAGTCAGAATACATATACTCCCATTTAATTTGGCTTAGGTCAAATAAAAAAACTCATATAAAAGCCAGTAAATAACAAGCAGATCACTGTAATCTTCCCAAAACAACTGTTAAAAATTTAAGAAATCACAGCACATGGCATCCTTGAAATCTTCAGCCTCCAGAGAGGCTGGGGCTTCAGGTAAACACCTGAAGGCAACAATGCCTGGCTTAAGCTTGTAATTTTGATGAACTAAAGTTTACATTATTTTCTCAAAGAAAAACACAAAACTCAAAAGGCTTAAAGACATATAAATCTAACCCACATTTTAAAATTCTTTTCTTAAAACAAGGTGTGAAGGAACAGGGACTCTTATCACTCACCATTGGTGACTGCATACTTTTGGCAACTACTTTGAGGAATAATTTGATAGTACCAATTAAAATGTAAATGTCCTTATCTTTTTTTGAGACAGAATCTCACTCTATCACCCAGGCTGTAGTGCAGTTGCACAACCTCAGCTCACTGCAACCTGTCTCCCGGGTTCAAATAATTCTTCCACTTCAGCCTCCTAAGTAGCTAGGACTATAGGCACATACCACCATGCCCAGCTAATCTTTCTATTTTTAGTATGGACAGGGTTTCACCATGTTGGCCACACTGGCCTTGAACACCTGGCCTCAAGTGATCTGCCCACCTCAGCCTCCCAAAATGTTGGGATTACAGGCATGAACCACCAGGCCTGCCAGATGTCCTCTTCTAAGCCAGCAATTATACTTGCAGGACTTTAACCTATAGATAGATATACCTGTACATGTGCAAATTATTTTGCTAATGCTCAACAAAAATGTTCAACAACAGAAGACTGATTAAAAGTTTGGGACATATAATGAAATACAATAATGCTGTAAAAAAAATGAGGTAGATCTATGTGCTAACAAAATAACGTTTACTCACTAATATAATACTACTGAGCAATAAATTATTTATTATATGTACTTGTCTGCATTTCTGGACCTTATGGCCACATGATTAATTTTAACTCAGAAGAATGCAGAACAATCACATATTTTAAACGTTGTTAAAATACTCCACATAAAAAGAATCTCCTACTCTGTAAAGCATTTCCTGTATACAGTTTTTCCTAATTGATCCCATTTTCTTCTGATCATTAAGCCTACCTGCATAAGTGGAACTATTTAAAAAAAAATACTACTGAGTTTAAAAGGCAGGTAAATTCCAAATGATTGCTAATATGTAGAGTTTCCTTTTGGGGGAGACGGAAATGTTCCATAATTATATAATGATGACAGTTACAAAACTGGGAATATACTAAAAACCACTGAACTGTGTTCACTTTAAAATGGTTAATTTTGTTATATGTATTATATGTTTTTTAAGAAGCATACAAAACTGCATGAGAGGTAGGGTTACATGTCTTCTACATGTATATGTAAAAAAAAAAAAATTTAAAGAGAGGTAGGGTACAGGTACAGGTAGGATATGTATGCTCATAAATAAACAGACTTTCCTAGAAAGATGTGTAAGAAATTGTTTTAAATGATTCATCCAAACAAGTTCTGAGAATTATTTTCAACTTTCAATAGTCTTAAATTGAGCCCAGCTGTGATAGTTAAGAGTGTCAACTTGACTGGATTAAAGGATACAAAGTATTGATCCTGGGCTGTCTGTGAGGGTGTTGCCAAAGGAGATTAAGACTTGAGTCAGTGGGCTGAGAAAGGCAGACCTGCCCTTAATCTGGGTGGGCACAATCTAATCAGCTGCCAGCACAGCCAGAATATGAGCAGGCAGAAAAAATGTGAAAAGAGAGATGGGCCTAGCCTTCCAGGCTACATCTTTCTCCTGTGCTGGATGCTTCCTGCCCTTGAACATCGGACTCCAAATTCTTCAGTTTTGGAACTCAGACTGGCTCTCCTTGCTCCTCAGCCTGCAGACTGCCTATCGTAGGGCCCTTTGTGATCCTGTGAGTTAATACTTTATAAACTCCCCTTTACATATATGTATCTATTCCATTAGTTCTGTCCCTTTAGAGAATCCTAATACACCAGCTATAGAAGATGAGAAAAAGAGCATTCTACTACTGCCTTCTACTTCTCCTTCATTCCTACTTCTCTTTGATTCTGTCAAGGCTACATTATCACAAATCTTTCTTCATGGAAGTTTAGAACGTTTACATTGGGACCTGTAACCATAATCCCACAGTTTTAGTCTTAGCTCTAGTATAAACAATTCAATGATAACTTTCTCTTTTCTTTTCCATTGCACTCACTCTCTCTTCACATTTTATTATTAAAATTATAAACACAAACAGTAGGAGGGCAAAAGGCTTATTGGCAAATAAATGAACACCAACAGAAGTATAACGAAAGCCTGTAATTCCATCACCCAGTCTTAATGGTTAAAAATGCAATCCAAGCTTTTTTCATCTGTTTGACACCTACTTTCTCCCACCCCACCCCCAATCACCCCAATTATTTTATTATTTCTTTAGATATAGGGGAAGGAAACTCTATGATTCTGCTTTACTCCATCATCTTTCTCTGAAAGTTTCAAGGCTAATTGCCTTCCCATGTGTATTCTTCCATATTCTACATCTAAACTCACACTTACCTATTTTCATTTTTTAAGTGAATTAAAACCTCTGCATTAAAAAACAGCATTATATTGGGAATGACTGTACATAGGAAAAATCAAAAAGAAAGAGAAAAAAATAGCATTATAAGGCTGGGTGCGGTGGTTCATGTCTGTAATCCCAGTACTTTGGAAGGCCGAGGAGGGCGGATCATGAGGTCAGGAGTTCAAGATCAGCCTGGCCAACACAGTGAAACCCCGTTTCTATTAAAAATACAGAAATTAGCCAGGTGTGGTGGCATGCACCTGTAGTCCCAGCTATTCAGGAGGCTGAGGGAGGAGAATTGCTTGAACCCAGGAGGCGGAGGCTGCAGTGGGCCAAGACTGTGCCATTGCACTCTAGCTTGGGCAACAGAGCAAGACTGTATCTCAAAAAAAAAAAAAAAAAAAAGATTATAAATGTATTTTCTGCCCCTACTCCTAAGGGTGGCTATTTTGTGTTTCACAGTATGTTTTGCTTTACTGTGGCTAGTTAAGTCTGTCTGAAATAAAGCAACTAAGAAGAGTACGGTAGTACACACCTGTAGCCCCAGCTACACAGGAGGCTAAGGCGGGAGGACTGCTTGAGCTCAGGAGTTCGAGATCAGCCTGGACAACAGCATTGTAAGACACCATCTCAAAAACACAAATTGAGACAAAAAGGAAATAAAGCAACTAACACTTTAAAAATTAAAAGTAGTCACAGACCTTGATAAATGTCAGGTGTTAAATTTCACAGAGGCTCAAAAGGTAGCCTAAAAAGTCCTTTGATGGCTTACTAGTCAATTGTATTAACTTGTGATTTGTGAATGTATATCAAGTAGACAGCATTCCTATGAAGGCTGGGGACAAAAGCCATCTTACCTCCTTCACAGACACACAGTTATCAATCCAGTTTTTAGGGCATAATCATGATCTGGATTAGACCCAGGATCGACACCAGGTCATGAGAGCTATAAAACTTCAGCTGTTTTAGGCATAACATGGA